TATTACTTGAAAATATACTAAGAAGTATGCAGTAACATTTAAAAAGTCATTTATGAAAAATTTGTTATATGAAAGGATTTAAAAAACCAATCATTAACATACATCGATAGTAAATATTAAAATTCTGAAGATAAACATTTGAAAATCTGATGGACCTTTCTCCACTAGTTGAGTTTCTAAATATGCATTTTAATATGATACAGTGTGGCCCATAAAGAACCATTCAAATGATTTTTTTACATTTACTGATCTTCTAGATGTATTTCTAGAAGCGATTTCTCAGAAAATTGCTTTCGGGATTCTTATAAAAAAATCCAGCTGTGTAGCCTTAAGAGGGGTCTGTAACAAATAGGCAACCAGTAATATATTTTTATAGATTTTATTACACAGTTTGTCTAATTATGAATTAATGCATAAATAACAGACTTTCCCCCACTTTAACGCAGATTTTCTATAAAATGGACTTAGTTTGCAACTCAAATCACTTTGTGGTGTAAGGAAATTTGTAATTTACGATGCCGCTTGTTCAAAAGCGGTAAATTACAAATTTCTTTACACTAAAAAGTAATTCCAGTTTCAAATTAACTGTTATTTGTGCGATTCATATTTAGACAAATTGTGTAATAAAATTTATAAAAATCTATTGCTGGTTTCCTATTTGCTATAGAGCTCTTTTAATCAGCAGCTCTTAAAATCCCAATATCTCGAAGAATTTATAAAGCATAACTTTTTTAAACCTAATTGGATTGTTATAATTGGTTTAACAAGTACTTCTAAGAGCTTTCAACTTTCAATTATACATAAAATCATTTGAATGATGCCCCTGAAAAAGAATTTAAAGGCGTGTGCTTGTTCTTGAAGAGCCACATTGCATTTCGAGAAAATTAAAGAAATATATTGCACTTACAGCGGCAGTTTCCATGAAATTAATATCTTTAAGTACTATTGTTCACTAAAATATTGATTTGTACACAGAAATAATAAAATTGGTATAAAGGATTAAACATGTAGACACCTTTGATCTCAATATAATTAATTAATTTAAAATGACATTGTTGTGAGGATGGTAATAAATGATTACACAGCCACTCAAAAAAAAGTTGTCTGTACTTTTCATGCGACACATGTTGTCTGTAGTATTTTTGCCTCCTGATCACGAATCGGTGTCAGAATTGAGCTATCACATCACAGGAATTTCCTAACCGCAAAAAATAGATCACGAAAAAGTGTTGGAAAATGCAAAATTTTTTTTTTCTATAATCAAATGTTCATTATTATTATATATTAAGATCCGCCGAACGTGAATCCGCGGTCTGAATTGATGGTTCTTTTTCTAACTTCAAAAAAAAAACAGGACAATTAAAGTCAGTTATCACGAATTTTCAAAAAATAAGACTCGCGCCAAATTTGGTATACGGGGGTTTTCGGGGTCGCTGATCACGGATACGAGGTCAATTATGTAAAATTCAAGAATGGCGGATCCAATATGGCCGACCAAATTTTTAAAAAATAACCTATTTGCGCTAAATTTGGTATACGGGGGTTTTCGGGGTCGCTGATCATGGATCCGAGGTCAATTTTGTAAAATTCAAGATGGCGAATCAAAGATGACCAAACAAATTTTCAAAAAATAACATTCTTGCCAAATTTGGTATACATAGATTTTCGGGGTCGCTGATCACGGATCCGAGGTCAACTTTGCAAAATTCACGATGGCGGATTCAAGGTGGCCGACCAAATTTAAAAAAAAATAACACATTCGCGTCTAATTTGGTATACGGGGGTTTTCGGGGTCGCTGATTACGAATTCGAGGTCAGATTTGCGAAATTCATTTTGTAATGTTTTTGTTTACTTTATAACCTGAGTACCCAATCATGTTTTAACTTTTTTAAAGTACATAGGTAATTGATTAAATTTTTAAAAACGAATTTTGTATATCTGATCTCGGATTTGTGATCAGTGATCCCGAAAACCCCCGTATACCAAATTTGGCGCGAATCTGTTATTTTTTGAAAATTTGGTCGCCCATCTTGGATCCGCCATCTTCAATTTTGCAAAACTGACCTTGGATCCGTGATCCTGAAAACCCCCATATACCAAATTTGGCGCAAACCTGTTATTTTTTGAAAATTCGTTATTTATATCTGACCTTAATTGATCCGTTTTTTAGGTTAGAAAAAGAACTACCAATTCTGACCGCGGATTCACATTCGGGGGGGTCTTAACCATATAAATGCACAAAAATAAAAAAAAGAATAATTTTGTACTTTTCCTAGCACTTTTCGTGAATTTTTGCTATTTTTGATCCATTTCTTGAGGTTAGGAAAATCCTGTGATGTGACAGTTCAATTCTGACACGGGATTCGTGATCAGGAGGCAAAAATACTACGAATAACATATGTCGCATGAAAAGTACAGACAACTTTGTATTTGTGTGGCCGTGTTATTGTTGCGGCTTGAATGTAATGGCATAAAAATTTTTGAAATTATGTGCAGATTCAGAATCTGCAAATTTACTTCACATTTAAACATATATTATGCAATATTTTTTAGTACAAGTAAAAAAAGGACATACACATGGGGTTCCAATCTCCTTTAGGCCATTGGGTACTACAGGAAGGCCAAGATGTATTTCTTAATGATAAAAAGTAAGTTAGTTTATTTTAAAAATGAATCGGAAATTTTAAAACAATACTTTTTTAACAAATCATTCACAAGCCGACAAACAGAAGGTTTGTTCTCTTGCACATTTTTCATGAACCAACTGTAAACTATGCTAAAACCAGTATTGCCTAAGATATATCCTCTATTTCGATACTGAAAATTTATCATATATTTTTCAGAATCTCTTAAAAACAAGTATTTATAGCATTAAAACAGCTATCTATTTTTTTATTACGATTTCTGAAAAAAAATATTGTAAAATTGCACCAAATTTGTAATAATTAAACACAATTTGACAATTGTAAATACGAGTATTCCCATTGTCACCACTTTTATAGCTTTATTTTTTTACTTGTTTGAATACACCGGAAAAATATATGATATAATGTGAGATTCATTTAAGAAGTGAGGCAAAATTAGAGACGGAAGCTGCATGGTATTGATTTTAAAAAGTTTTATTTCGGAATAGGATTCGTTTAAACCGTTCATATTTCCGTCTTTAACTTTGTTCTGTTTTGTAGAATCGTATAAATATGAGAGATTAATAAATAGTTTCTAACATAAGAATTATAAAAACATCACAACCACTAAAAAAATATAAATAAGTACTTGCACGACAGATAATTACGAAAGGGAGGACTAAAAACGCCAGGATCCATACTATAAGGATAATACTTTATATATAACACAATAAAAACTAGTTTCAGTCTTCACAGTTATACAAATACGCCGTTATTCAAAAGTTCAACACTGTTAATATACTACGAAATAATCAACTGACCGAAAAATATAACATTTACACGTTTTTCATCTTTTTTAGTCCGTTTTGAATTGGTCACTATGCATGAACGCATAAAATATTATTATCTTCAATCTCTACACCAACATATAAAAAACTGTACACCACCAATTCATTAAAAAAAAAATCAGTAATAAAAATAATATATCGTCTAGTTTCGGTGGCTGGAATTTTACGAGTTAAATTAATAGTAACTATACAATATACAGTTTTTTAGGACGAAGTAAGGTCGTGTCTTCTTTACCTCCGCAACAAATTTTTGTAAAAATTATTTTAATGCGGGGGCAAATGTATTGCAAAATAATCACCTTACCTATGTTATATAATATAATTATTATGTATTTTTATACAAGAGAAATTTAGCTGAATTTTTGGCATACGAGACCAACCAATTAACACAAGGATTTTTGTAATTTTTGATATTTATGGTATGTGTAGTTTGGACCTTGAATAATAATTTTTCGAAGTAGTTCGACGCAACGTTCATAAATTACCAAGATAATTGATTTTGAAGTTTTACCTGACAGCTAAATCCAGTAAATGTGACACAAAATGAATGCGCAGCCTAATTGGTAGCGTTCAGGTCTGACAGTCAGGAGATCGCTGGTTCGAGTCCGTCGCGTGGCATTTTTTTTTTTTGAAATGCACCATGTTTTTTTTTATTTTTTTCATCTCGCAAATTATGAACAAACGAAATATTATAATAACTACTTATGTATATGCAGGAATATTCTTCAAATTAATGCACATTAATATGCACAATTGGTTGATACACAATATTTATTATGAATTAACAATAAGGTTTCATTAAAAAAAAACAAACGAGGTCAGGTAGGATGTTCTTTTATTTTATATTTATGTTAGTATTTGACATTTAACGCAGTGTGGCACGAGCCTGAATGGTAGTTGTCATAGAAAAATGGGAAGCAGAAATTTTTTAAGCATCTAGATTTCTTTCTTTTTCTTTTTTTTACCTCGAAAATTATGAACAAACGAAATATTATAAGAACTGTATGTAGGAATATTCTTCAAGTGTTTGATTAAAATTTTGAGCTAGGTTGTGTGGGTTGTCCACCATGTTTAGAAAAATCGCTTACAGAACACACCTGCTCGGGCACAAAAAGTTTCGGTAAATTCCACAAAGAGTAGAGAAGCATCGAAACTATGCGATGAAAGAACAATCTTTCAAAATGTTAACGAAATTTGCTTCGACGTCGATATTTTGAAAACAAAATGCGCCTGTAAAAACATAACATTTACATGACATGCTAGATGTTTAAAAAATGTCTGCTTTCCATGTTTCTATGATAACTATCATTCTGGCTTATGCCACACTGCGTAAAATGTCAAATACTAAAAATAAAATAAAAAAACATCCCACCTGACCTCGTTTGTTTTTTTTTAAAGAAACCTTATTGTTAAATCATAATAAATATTGTTTATCAACCAATCGTGCATTTTAATGAAATATTTTAAACATATACATAAATAGTCATTAGAATATTTCGTTTGTTCATAATTTTCGAGACGAGAAAAAGAATAAAAAAACTATATGGTGCGTTTTGAAAAAAAAAAAAAAAATGTCACGCGACGAGACTCGAACCACCGATTTTGTGACTGTCACACCCGAACGCTACCAACTAGGCCACGTTCCCAGTTGAAGAATGTGTCGCATCTAGTGGTGTTAGCTGGCAGGTAAAACTTCAAAATCGATTATCCCGGTAATTTATGAACGTTGCGTCGAACTCCTTCAGAAAATTCTTATTCAAGGTCCAAACTACACATAAATATCAAAAATTATAAAAATCCGATTACCTTACCTTCTCCTTGTTAGTTGTTCTGTATGCGATCCTTACGAGTTAAAATTATTTGAAAAGGTGAGGTTTCCCATTAAAAAAAATGACAAGTATGTGCTTGAATTTTTATATTTCCTTATTTCTAAAATTAATAACTTGTTAAACAATAATGAAGAACGTGAACGTGAAAACGAAGAATTCTTTTATCGTGGCCGTTTCGATTACCTGATTTTACTGCAACATATCAAAAGAAATTTAAAAACCAAAGAATGTCGCAGTATTTACAAGGCACTAGGATCAATTTTACTGTGAATTGTGAGAACTGCAGGTACAAAAAGAATAAATAAAATTATCGGTGCAGGCACTTATGGAAAAGGACTTTTTTTTTGGAAATCAATCGGTAAAAATATAATTTTATTATTCCCACCTTTTCATTACTTTCTGTAGTTTTAAGAACTCTACAAATATTTTATACAAAGCTAAAAATTAGAATATCACAGTTATGATTTTAAGTAAACTAATAAGGCAGATATATTTTTAAATTAGAATACTTAATTTATCCCGAAAAAAAATTAAATATTTGCAGATCTTTTGAAACAAAACTTGCTCCCGCTAGATGTATTAAATATTAAAACTAATGTCTTTTGCAGATCTTTAACGGATATTATTTTTTTGGAACCTCAACAAGCACCTCAGGTATAAAAATACATAACGTTCGAAATCACTTAATAAACTATTTTGGGTGGTAAAATTCCAGAAACCAAATTGGAAAAATAATTTATCTTAGTAGTTAATAGTTACCATTATGTATATGTATATATTTATAAAATTAGGATAGTTTTAGGTCGTTAGACAGTTCGGAATATAAACATACAAAGGGAACACATAAAGTTCTTGCTTTAGGACCGGAGGGGGTTTAAAAATTTCATCGCATTGCAATCACTAAGGTGGACACCACACATATAACTATTAAATTAACTTTAGCGCCAGGTGTGGCACCACCTAGGGTCAGTTCCTCACTTTTCACCACTTCGTTAGGATGTTTATTGTACGTTTTAGATTTTTTCGTGGTAGTCGTGGGGGACAGCGTACTCGTGGTTGTCGTGGTACTCGTTGATGTCGTTCGCTGCGATGTCACCGACCACCACGTCGGCTTCGATGTGACTACGGTAGGCTGGGATGTGGCGGGCATCGACGGCGGGCCCCACACCTTGAACACTATTTTCATGTTATGGGTCGTGCACCTGCCTCCTATTCTCCTATGTAAGTCGTCACTTGTGGACGTGGAAATGAAATAATAATCGTGACCTGCAAATTAAAAGACATTAGAAGAAATAACGTGAGTTTTTAAAATTATGATCAAGACTTGTACAATGCATAAGTTTCTGCATAATTTAAACTAAATAAACTAAATTAATTTTCTGTACGTGACAAGAAACTTAAAAAGTACATATAAAAAAAATTGTACCCGTAAAAATGCTGTGAGAAATGGAAATTATGGCGACTCCTTTTCACCCATCAAAGAAAATTTGTTCTTTATGTATTGGATGTATTGGTCCCCTTTGGGAATATTGAGAATTTTTTATACTTTTTCCTAGACGCAGCTTTTTTACCCAAGAAAATTTCCAAGAATAAAATAATGTGAATCAACATTTAAAAATAAATACCTATCTAAAATAACATATTTGAATACCCACGAAAATGCTGGCAGTGTTAGTTTTATTGAATGGTTGATAGTTTGGTAGGACACTGCTGAAATTCTCCAAAAAGTAGAACTTCTAGAACCCAGCTATAAACAGAATGTGTAGTTTTTCCAATATTAATTGAAGAAGCAAGAGGTTGACAGTATGTACCAGGTTCGATCGCTGACGCAGCAACTTGGCATTGAAATATTTGAAAAACTTGTTCCCATATTTTTTAGCCATACCCATATACAGGTCTGGTCGAACTAAACGTGGAGGTAGTAGAAATGTATACGCCCAGTTGCAGAATGTGAGCACAGGCAAACGAAATCCAAACAGCTACAGTGGACCACTGGGCAATAAATCTCAGCTGTTGACAAGTCGTTGACAAATTGCCCAGCAGTGCAGTGCAGCAATGCGGAATTTGGTGTGATTCACGTAATTTTAATTTATTATAGGCACTTTCAATTAGTCATTCATATTGCAATTGCGAAAGGGAGAAATAATATTACAACATGGCATTTTGGAGACCATTTGAAATGGAACAAAACGAAATTAACCATCAATATAATAAAATTGTTTGAGGTCATAAATAATTACAATACGTTGTTGGCCAGATGAACATATAATAGAATTTTTCTACACATTATACAGGGTGTCCGGAAATTATGCGTCAAGACTTCAGGAGGTGATTCCTCACAAAAATTAGGATCACAAAGTCCAATAAAAATTTTTCGAAAACTCAATATTAACGGTGATACAGGGTGTCAAAAATTTTTTTTTAATATAAGCGTCAGGTTAATTACATCGCAGGAAAATATTCCCAAAAGCTCAGTCCATGAAATTTGCATCCATTCCACTATCAAAAGGTCCAAGCCCTACTCCCTAGAGATCCGATTGCACGACTGAATTTTTGCAGGACAATTATAAATCTTCATGATGGCAACAGAAAATTTCATCAATTCAATTCTTTTCATGGATGAAGCTGGATTCGGACATGATGGTGTAATAAATCTACATAATAAACATTATTGGTGTGACGAGAATCCTTTTAGTGGTGGAACGTGGGTTCCAGAATAAATTTTCTGTGAATGTATGGGCTGGCATCGTGGGTGATCATTTAGTCAGGCCACATTTCTTTCCTTAAAGGCTTGGTGGTGAGGTTTACCTACACTTTCTACAAAATGATCTGTCAGTTTTGTTGGAATACGTTCCTATTGGAGTGCGACGTGCAATGTGGCTACTGCATGATGGTGCACCGCCTCATTACAGTTTAACGATGAGAGAGCACCTCAATGAAATTTTCCCTGAGAGGTGGATAGGGCGTGGCGGATTCATAGAGTGGGCTGCCAGATCGCCCGACTTGAACCCGGTCCACTTTTTCCTTTGGGGCTATGTTAAGTCACTGGTATACAGAAGGCCTGTAAATAACATGGAAGAGCTGAGGCAACGAATTATTGACAGTTTTGCAATAATAAGAGCAAAAGAGGGCATATTCTTCAGGGTTCGTCGCAACTTTCTGAGAAGAATGAATTTGTGTGTCAAAATGGAAGGACAACATTTCGAGAACTTATTATAAGAGCACAGGCTAAATAAAAATATTACTTAATAATGTAGTTAGTGAATAAATTTTGTATTGATGAGTTGAAACTGTGAATATCAGTTTAAAACAACGTTAACACATGAAAATGTTTGAAGTCGTTTTTCTCAGAAACAGTTTATTTTATTGTATCGCAACAAGAGGTACTTTTTTAAATAATTTTTGATACTCTTTAACATGGTGCTGTTCAAATTTATAAAGCGGTGAAAACAAAAAGTTGTGGGCCATCGTTCGAAGATTAAGGTCAGGTTAGGCCCTTTGGCATTGGAATATTTGCATCATATTTGGAACATAAATCTACAAGGGCACTAGTAATACATAGGAAAGACTTGGAAAAAATCAAATCACAAATAAAAAAGTTATCTAAGAAAAACTAAAAATAAAAAAAAATTTTACACCCTATATCTCCGTTAATATTGAGTTTTCGAAAAATTGTTATAGGAGTTTGTGACCCTAATTTTTTGTGAGGAATCACCTCCTGAAGTCTTGACGCATAATTTCCGGACACCCTGAATACAGATTATTATAATTTTTTACCTTTAGCAGAAAACTTTTTTAGGGACGCTATGAAAGTCATTAAATTTTATTGCCAGGCGTTTTTTTACATGTTCAACTGACTTCAGAGACTATACAACTACATGAATCTGCTAAATTGGATGCAGAAAAAATGACTTTCTTTTGAATTCTTTTGTAATACACAACGATAACAAATCTAAAGCGATAACTTTGCTTATTTACTCATTATTTAAAACATTTTCTGAAGCTTAAAAATATTTAATAATAAGTGAAACAAAGTCGTTAAAAAACAGGAAAAATAATAATAGATAAAGTTATATCATGTTATGGAACAAACACATATTTAGTTGTTTTATATTAGAAATACCTATTACAAAAAAAATATTTTTGTATTTATAATTATTGTTCTAAAATTATTAACACATGTTAATCTATGTCATCCTCTCGACTTTTCTTCATGTGAAAGTTGTTTCGAATAATATTTCTTTAGCTTAACATCGACTCAATGTTGGCAACCCTAAGAATGTTTATTGGTAAGTACATGTTGATGATTTTCAGTAAATTTTAAATTTATTCAAGCGATGAAACAACTAAAGTTCACTTTATAGAAATTGTTCAATAAGTAATAAATCCCTGTATAATAATATCATGTCAAAATGGTGGATATTGATTTTTCACCAATGATCTATTATTAATAAATTAGATTGATTATTCATACATTGCAACATTTTTCTCAGTGGTGACACTATAATTTTATGGCAGTCCCCAGATTTTTAATTATTCATAAAAGTATGGGGATGGCTATTGATTATTTTTCTTGCCGTTTGAAGTTAAAATGAAAATATCCTAGGCTAAATATAAAGTGACACTCCTCGAAGGAAGTGACTTTATTACTGTTTACATTACTTTATATTAGTGTGTTTTGGCAGATACATTATAATTAGACTTTGGAAAGTAGTAACGTTTTGGAACATATGTTCGGGAGTTATGTTTGTCATGCCTTATTGAATATTGTCTGAAAATATCTTGCTCATCATATTTTTTAAAAATTGTGCTTTATTTTTTTTGTGTACCGTAAAAGATTGAGCTAAGAATAAAACGACAGAACTGAGGATTTAAAAACAAATTTTAACATTTACATGAAAGACATATTAAGCCACCAATTGTAAAATCACGCGGGCAGTGTGACTGTATTACTTTATTGAACACTTATCTTTATATTCAAATGTAAAAACCTTAAAAAATTGTCGGTCAATAAAATTTCTGTATCTAAAATATTCTTCAATAAATAAAAACAAATCTTATCTTTATGGACATTCTGACGGGCGTAAAATATAAAACGGATTTTTATCCAAAACAATGAATCATACTTCAGCTAGTTAGGCGTAGGTACTGGAATTTCAGGACATTACCTACATAGTATTATTATTAAACTACAAAAGCACTTAACATGTTATATAGTCAATTAACAATTCATATATATGAGTATACATTGACATTTCCCGTCATGATTGTGAAGAAGACGGGCGATAAAACGGAATTACAACCACAAGTATTTCAAATAATATAATGTGCAATAATTGTGTGAATGGCCGTCGAATTAGTCACTGCAAATATTTTACTTATAATGTAAGCCTTAATTAAGAATTAATTTGCTGAACTAAAGGAGCATTTGTTGTTATTAAAAATAACATTCTATTGACCCTGCCCATATAATTGCGTTGTGTGACAAACTGTGTGCTCAGAACAATAATTAACAAAAACTTATGTTGTTTTAATTAACACTCAAAATTAAATTTCAATGGAACGTGCTCTACACATAATTATTTAAATATTAAAAAAAACTTGTAATAACATTTTTCTTGACAAATTTCATCTTCACAGCGAACATTTTGCCCCTTCCCGCAAAAAATGGCATTTTTATCTCTTGTTGCAAAATATACTCTTATGACAAAATTTAGCCTTCATCATTATTGATATCTTTCTTTTCTATTTAGACCAGGATGGATAATTTTCGAAACCAAAAAAAATTATAGGATGAAACCCACTGGAAAATAAAGAGAATATAACAGAAATGAAAGGAAAAATAATTTACGGGCAATCTGAGGTCGGGAAGGGGAAGGGGGTGAGTTTTTAAGGGTAAAAAACGGTTTCCCTTGATTTCCGGAAAAACTACAAGTCTTATGGAAAAAAGTTAAATGGCAAAGTTGTAGGTAATAAAAAGATCTACAACTTTTGAATTTACACTTTTTTCACATAACCTCAAAATTTATGTGAAAAATTCAAATACCAAGTTTTTGGTTTTTATTTTTCTTTTACAAAAAAAAAAATTTGTGAAAATTTACCTATTTGTCCCAAACATGTAATTTTTTTGATTTGAAATATTTATTTTTTCACCTTATTTTTACTTAATATCGAAAAAGCACCGTAATTTTCAATCGAAAATTCTCACGTCAAAATATCTGCTTGTTTAAAAACGTCTGTGGGCTTTTTCTTCGTTGAAATCTCTACTTTCTGATGGTGTAAAAAAATATATACATTACTATAGTAAGTTTTCTCAAGAAATGCAAAGAAACGAAAAAAATTAGAATCCGAAAAATTTTTTCTAATCATTATGTACAATTTTGAGCTATTTATTAAAATTTACGCTTTAATTACTCGAAAAACGTAAGATTTCATGTTACATTGATAAACAAAAAAATTACAATTCCATAAAACATAAAGATTGCAAAAAACAAGCAAAAATAGTTGTTGTAAATATTAAAGATAGGATTTAAAGGGGATTTTATTTAAAAAATGTGACTGCTGCTATTTTTTTCAGTAAAAAAGTTGATTTATTAAATTCTAAAAACATTTATGTCATAGAAAATCTCATAATATATAAATATACATGTAAATCGTACAATCGTAAAAAATAGCTGCAGTCACATTTTTTAGATAAAATCCTCTTTAAATCCTATCTTTAATATTTAGAACTATTTTCGTATGTTTTTTGCAATCTTTGTTTTATGGAATTGTAATTTTTTTGTTTATCAATGTAACATGGAATCTTACGTTTTTCGAGTAATTAGTGTAAATATTAATAAATAGCTCAAAATTGTACAGAATGATTAGAAAAAAATTTTTGGATTCTAGTTTTTTTGTTTCTTTCCATTTCTTGAGAAAACACCATAGTAATGTATATTTTTTTACACCATCAGAAAGTAGAGATTTCAAGGAAGAAAAAGCCCACCGACGTTTTTAAAAAAGTAGATATTTTGACGTGAGAATTTTCGATTGAAAATTAGGGTGCCTTTTCGATATTAAGTAAAAATTAGGTGAAAAAGTAAATATTTCAAAACAAAAAAATTACAGCGTGTTTGGGACATAAATAGGTAAATTTTCACCAAATTTTGTGGAAAAAAATTTTTTTGCAAAAGAAAATTAAAAATCCAAAAACTTTGTTATTTCAATTTTTCACATAAATTTTGAGGTTATGTGACAAAAGTGTAAATACAAAAGATGTAGATCTTTTTATTACCTACAACTTTGCCATCTAACTTTTTTCCATAAGACTTGTAGTTTTTTCGGAAATCAAGATAAACCGTTTTTTACCCTTAAAAACTCACCCCCTTCCCCTTCCCGACCTCAGATCGCCCGTAAATTATTTTTCCTTTCATTTCTGTTATATTCTCTTCCTTTTTCAATGGGTTTCATCCTACTATAATTTTTTTTTTCACATTTTACCATTTTTGAAGGCTTAAGCACTGGTCTAATTATGTATCAGTATTGATAAAATCTAAATAAATAGTCATAACGTTGGCAAATTGCGCAAAACAAAGAATCTAAACCCATCCACTCTTGAAGAGCTATTAAAATACCCAGATTATTAAAAACGCATTCTATAAATCACTACTTATAATATTAATAATGATTCTAATAAAAGAATACGTGTAGAGGGCAATACCATGGGGAAAGGTAAACACTTTTATAGATAGGTGAATCACACATCTATTTTACTTCACAATTGAGGGCAGATAACAGGGCAACTAATGCATTTATATTCACTTTGGGAACAGTTAGTTTTACGACATGTACCATATTAATAATTTTTTTTTATGCTCCTAAAAAAATAATTATAACTTTTATAACTTCCGGATTATTCCCTTTATCACGTCTATGTGATCAAAAACATATTTCCGTTAGCTTTCGTGGTCAATTTCCACGAACTTTTTTTATTATTTATCATATTCGGTGGTGTCATAAAAATATTTGAACAATGTGATAGTAAGAAACAAATATTCTAACATGATATGAAATAATGAATTTATTTTATTTCCTAGCTAGCAAAACGTTTCCAAGGGCTCGGTTAAAGACCCCCTTTCTACAGGGTGTTCCGCATTGTACAAACCAAACTATACCTGGCGACGTAACACCTCAAAATAAATAAGAAAATGTCTATGTTGACATTTATTTAAATATACCGGGTGATTCATTTTGATATTCGCGGCCTCGTATCTTTTTTATTTTAACAAATAGCTATAACAAACCCTATATATATTTTTAAATCGCCGCTCAAACTCTATCAAATTACTTTATTAGATCGTCTGCATGATAACATAATATGTCAAAATTGCTATTGTCAACTTTTTTTTTTTTTTTTTCAAATGGCATACAATGTTTTTTTATCAATTCTGGAAGATATTTTTTTCTGCGTTCAGCTATATAAGGAAGTTTATAGTTTCATTAGAGATGTTGATAGATAAACAGCAAAAATGATTAACCTTACTTTCAGTAGCTTTATTCTGAAAAATGATAGCCAGCTGCGGAAACAACTGAATTATGACATTTCTAAATAACGGTTTGTCAAAATAATTGACATTTTGTACCTACCTATTCTATCTATAATTCTATAACATAAAAAACTAGATATGATTTTAATTTATGGAGAGTATCGAAAGAACGCTAAAGCTGCAGGTATTTATACCAACATCGTTTTCTCCAGAGACAACTTCCATCAGCTAAAATTTTCGGAATGTTAGCTAGCAATTTGGGGGCAGATGGAAGTTTTCAAAAGAAAAGAAGGGTTTGTAAACCCAGAAGGGCAAGAGATGAAGAACATTCGATAAAGATGTTAAATAGCCTGCTAGATCTCTGGATATCACTTCTACAGATTTCTTTCTTTGACCATACCTAAAATCGCCTTTGAATGATATTGACGACCTTAAAAACAGAATAAGAGTAGAATGTCAGAGATAAAATGAAGAAACACTAGAATGTGTTTGTAGAGAGGGAGTGATAAATAGAGCTACTCTGTGTTTGGAAGCAAATGGAGGTCATTTTGAACATTTGAAATAAGTATTGTTTTAAATTGTTATATTATTATCGTATTAATAATGAAATATGTTACTTTAAAAAACATAGTAACTAGTTTCCGCAGCTGGCTATCATTTTTCAGAATAAAGCTTCATCTTTTTTGCTATTTTTCTAGCAATATTTCTAATGAAACTATAGACTTCCTTACATAGCTGAACGCAGAAAAAATTATATCTTCCAGAATTGATAAAAAAATATATAGTGTGCTATTTGAACAAAAACAATTGATTATAGCAATTTTGACATATGTTACCATGGAGACGATCTAATAAAGTCATTTGATAGAGTTTGAGCGGCGATTTAAAAATATATAGGGTTTATTAGAGCTATTTGTTAAAATAAAAGAAATACAGGGCCGCGAATACCAAACTGAATCACCCGGTATATTAAAATATTTGAACTAATCCAACTTTGGTAATGAAAAATAAATACAATAATATATTTAAGAAGCAGGTGGCGCAGCATCAGTTTAGTTGCTAGGGTAAGCAACTACTCGACAATTATTTTCATTACAATTGACCATTGCTATACCAGATCGGTTAAAGTAAACCTGACATTTACTTACTTTCGACGTTTGTAGACCGCCAAGATCATCGAGATCGACGTCTACAGATCTCACAAATTACACATATTATTACATTTATTGTATTATTGTATAATGTTAGAAATCGAGCGAAGACCGATAATCTGAACACTTAACCCAAGAGGCAAGGGCTAAGTAAAATAAACAAATTCCTCGGCTAGGGCAGATAAGACACATGGAACCAGGCATTCACCATTCGGCACTCGGCATTCAACATTCGACGGCAGACGCCCTTATTAACTAACTGTTTTAAATGCCTTATAAACTTTTTATATTTCAAACTAAAAACTTGTATTTAATGATGCCTTATAAACTTTTTATATTTCAAACTAAAAACTTGTATTTAATGCAATATATTATAATATTCGCTGATAATGAGTGTGTTTCTAACAATAAAAAATTAAACTCACAGGACTGATCTAATTGTAAGTGTTTAGTATAACTTTCTATTTATTTATCAATATGGTCCGTGCATTTTTAAAGAGGTCTCTAGTTTTATTTATTTTTAATTCAATGAGTCACAAGTTGTCTGTGTCAAATTGTCTCGTTTATGGAACACGTCTTTAGATTTGATGCCTACTGGCCGCAAACAACCTGAAAACTGGAGGTAATGTCGGACATTATGACGACTCGTAATGTCTTAAAGAAATAACAGACCGGCCCTTAGTTAAGAACTTTGTGGAATTATTCCTTTTAAATTTAAATAATTATGGTCCGTGCGCAGCTATAAACGGTAACACAAGATGGTCTTTCAAAAGAGGAGGCTAGCCCAGTCGACAGCAAGTAGCGGGAGACGAGATGAAAGATTTGTTCAAAGCAGGCTCTGGTTATAGATTTTGAGAACTCTAAATATATATCTTGTGAGTTTACGAATGTAGCTTTAATATACGCATTTCATCCTGAAGTTACTTAATAACGTTATTTACATATTAACAATTACTCAATTCTTGGTTAAAAAAAATCAATTACCTGGTAGGAACTCCAGCCCGCCAGGTTGAGGTGTAAACGGTCTAAAAGTAATAGTAAAATACATTAACTTATATGGCTTGTCGCACACTGCGATTATCCTAGGGTTGGGATTCGTTATCCTGCACGTCTCGTACTCGTCCTTCGAGACGTTGTAGATGATATACTTCTCCATCTCCTCGTCCCTGGTGCCTGGCATGTAGACGGGACAGATCAGGTTCACCTGATCGTAGTCGAACTTGACGTTGTTCCTGTTGACGTCTATGATGTTGTCGGTGTTGTCTATGCGGAAAATGGGGTTGGAGGAGTTCCAGTGGATGGTGTAGAACTTGGCGGTGCTCGGTAGGGTAGCCAGCGCGAACCAGTGGTAGCTGAACGTGAGCAGAATCAGGCCTCTGAGAAGAACACAGCTCGGTTGCCAACCCATCATGTTTCTTCTTTTCTCCCTGCGATTGGTCTCTTTACATGACTCCTTCCCTTTCCATTAATCTGCAAACAGAATACAACGGTCAGTGTAAGGTCCAGGATAAGTATTAGAAGGCGACAAAATTAAAGAAATAAGTTTTCCGCCAAAAGAAACTAAAGAAGTGGCAGAGAACGAAACGGCTATGGAAAATAATTTTATAAAAACAGATTGTTTTTGCACGGCTTTGCGACATGTTATTTTAAAGTCACCATATTTTATTCACATGAATACGTTGAACATTAAAAAACATTCCAGTGTATTTTAAAAAATTACATTTTTTGTATCTTTAATTAAATATTAATTATCTAAAGTTGGTAGTGGATAAAAAATGCATTACTAATTGTAAGTAAAACTAATACATGGGTTATAATCAAGGTTGGCATGATATATGTTAACAACTATTGAGGGTTGCTAAGGTACACGGGGTGCATCCCACTTCTGATGTTAGAAACACGGGGGTTTTCACCCCCGATTAAAACACATAATTTCAACAATCGGTTTATTCCCTCAAACGACAGAGTTGTCTCTTGTTTATTAGCTATGTCGGGACCCTGGTGAATCCCGAGACTGACTCCCGTGCTCGCTGACCCCGCGGACCGCGCTCCATCGGCTGACCTCGACTGCTCGCGCATTCCGAAAGGGGTTCTGACTGACTCAGTAATAGCGACGTAGTGGATGACATCCCTCTTTAATAATTAGATCTAACATATATATCAATGATATATATATATATATATATATATATATCCGATATATATCATTGATATCTATCACGATATTTATTCCTTCCTTGATATATATCATGATATTTATAAAAATTTAAATGATTCCTACTGGTTTAAAGTTGCTAAAACTTTTAACAGATGACAGCAAAACCGTATGCTAATCGTTGACGAACGTGTTTATTTATGCGATTCCCCGAATTTTTCAACAAAGTAAAATTGAATGAATATTTTTATTTCATTATTTCTCCAGGTGTTAGTCAATTTGAGCAGGTGCTGTGTGTTTATATTTGTTTTAATATTTATGAAATTTATGTTGACTTGGTGTAAATTGGTTAGTTTTCGTAGTACTTTCGTATTTATTTTTTCGTTCTTGTTTTTGATAATTGGACTAAAAATATTTACCTAAACAGTTTCTTAATTTTATTTCGCTACTATAAAATTATACATAAATTAATTAATTAAAAAAATAAATATCAAGACTTGATATATATCGGATATATGTATATCAAGATATATATCCGATATTTGATATTTATATAAATATCATGATATTTGCCAACCTTGGTTAAAATTTATAGCATTTAGTGCCGTCTTGTCTAATGTAAGTGTGTAACCTTATAAAGTTATTTTTTTAGTGTTTAATTGTACGGTTTGTTTGTGGTGTGCCTTTATTGTTAAACTGTTATGTTATATTAAAGAAAAAACTTAAACTTAATGTATCAAGAAAAATTAGAATTGACAACAATGCGCGCGCGGCTAGTGCGACCGTTGTTTGGGATTACACTAGCCTGTCCAGCGGCGGGGTATGAATATTACGAAAATAGGTTAAATAAAATGTCTGTTTTCTATATCTATCATGTCATCATTGAAATTTTGTAAGTTTAACATGTATGCAGTAAGTTTTAGAAACATATTTTCTGCCTAGTGTTTTATTTTTACTTTTTAGACCGCCCAAGCTTATACGAAATCTGATAGTTTACCACCAAGTACTTGGTAAAAATCTAAATTGTGTTAAAATTTAGATTTTTACTACATATTTACAAATAGTATTCCAAAATTTCAAGTTTTAAGTTTGAAATTGACTTGCATTTCGCATATATAAACCAAATTTTTTTTTAATGGAACACCCTGTATATTTGTAATTTTGATATACATCACATTTTAGGGTTCAATATATTTTAATAGTAATAATAATAATAATAATAATTCTCTTCCCTTCATTATAATCACAAGGGTTAGTCGAGAAGTCGGAGACTTGTGCGGAAGAGGGGGCGGTGTATTATTATTCAGTAGGCCGCATGTGCGCCCAGGAACGACTTACGTTGGTAAGCCCTAACCACCATTTAGTGCAACTATGAGGGGGATGGTCAAAGGCCGACCGGTATGAATCACTCACATTGATCCAAACCAACTTTCTTCCACCCTACCATACCCGCAGAAGGAATACCTAATTTCTCTCTACGAAAACAGCTGATCTACGGTCTTACGGCCGCAGGGATCGAACTCGCGACAGTGGCATTCATCGATTCAAGTACTGACGCCTCGAACCGCTCGGCCACAGACTGTCAATTATTATTAATTTTTGCAACTTTGTTTTATTTATTCTAAAGCTCCTAAGCGTTTTCTATTTTATTCTAAGTAAATTGGCCACTAGAACGGTCTAACGGCGCGGCAGGCAGTCCTCAATTTCCACCGTTTACAATGTAGCAGTCTTAAAATATAAAACTGCTCCTATCTGGGGCCATATAACTGCAACAAAACAATAAATTTCTGGTCACAAATTCAGTTAGCAACCTTCTAATGATACAACTCGGGCGGTGAAGCGCCGCGGCATTGTATTCCAGGGCCATAAAACCGGGTTTATTATTATATTTCAAATATTGCTTCAGATAAACTTGTATTGATAATTAGTTTTCGCTAAATTTTATACTAGTTGTTAACGCTTTATGTTTGCTCCACTTTACTAATTGTAATTATAATACCTCAGTGGGAACGCGTAAAACTAGAGAACTACCATTAAATAGTGTATAGCCGTGATAATGTTGGAACTGTTGATGCTATTGGCAAATATTCGGTCAAGATGGGCTATCTAATTGGTAAATCGGTTCGATCGTTACCTTATTTACGAGTTTACGTCGGCGTCTAAATATTTGGGAAAAAAGTTGCTTGAACTTGTCGATTTTAATGTTTTTTTTCCGAGTTACATTAGCATTCCATCGGAAAGGTCGTATATACTTGTACGATTGAGACACAACACTCGTTTCTGTCCAAATACGTTTATTAAATTGCTTTAGATAAAGTTAGGTGACGTTAATAATGAATTAAGATGTAGAAAGACAGGTGATATGCAACAGTTTTTCGCTGATATATGCGGTTCCGATATTTTCAGGATAGTACCTCAAAAATTAAGGATACCTTCTTATATAAACTCTTTTAATAACGAAGATATAGGTATCACTTTAGACAGATAGACATATTATATTCGAAATTTTAGGTGTTTCTAAATATCTTCATCCTATTTTAAAATTAAACTTACGGCACCAATTTGAATTAATCGAACAGTTTTCGAAAAATTCATCATTACATGCATTTGCACTTTAATAATAAACCTCTCAACATCGATCGTGTATTCATGGAAATGTCAAACATTTCGAACTATTAATTCCCATAATACAAGTACTTTAAACGAATTGTAACTTTATGTGTCACAGGTTGGTGATTGGTATAACGGTTTGTCATTGTTGATTATAAATGACGCATTAATATTGAGTTAAGATTTAGGGATTTTTATTCGATAGTACCAATCGCGCAACGTTGGGGATGCCGACACTGAGCTGTACTCGAACTGTTGTTGAACCGAGTTGTATTAGTGCGCTTATCAATATTACCAGTATTTATAGCAACTATGTAAAACCAACGGAGTAGAAATTGCAATGGAATATATTTTTTCATGAGTACACATTATAAAGTTAACATAATTTTTGAATGTCAATGCGAACGAAGCACCAAGCATTCAAAACTATATACTTTTTGCATGATTTATTAAATATTAACTAATATTGGTATGTGGTTAGGCAAGCTTTACTAATTGTAAGTAAAACTGATTCGTGTCTTAAAAAAATGTTTACTGTTTTATAAAATGTTCATAGTACGTATTTTTGTTACTATTTTCCCAAAGCTCTGTCTATTATGGGGATATCGATCTGTTTCGACCAATAGTTTCGAAATCACGCGCTTGATCTTTGTTTATACGATTGGAATGTGCAAATTGACTTTTTGATATGACATGCCAATAGATGGACAAAATACAATTGCGCGAAACGAGAATAGCCGCATACGTAACCGTTTTATTTTATTACATTTATTTTAGTGTCCATTTTATCACTTTAAGGTGAATGTAATACGGTAGACAATTTCGTGGCTATCTGCGTGAAGTTATTAGCTTTTACTGAAATCTAAATAGAATTTGTATAGTGCGGTGTTGTTTTATTACCATGTTAAAGACTGAAGAACGCGACAGACCGCATACAGTAGAACATGAATCTCAATAAGGTAAGACAGTTCATGATACGATGTGTTGACGCGTGTTTAGACAGCAATGGAGGCGATTTCGAGCATGTGCTTATTCTTTTTATTTAATTTTCCTTTTCCGCGGTTAGTGCGCGCGGTTGTCCAGTGGCGTAATATGAACCAAAAAAAGAGTTAATAAAAAAATTATGTCTGACAAGAATTTGAGAAAACGATGTGTGTCTCTAAAGGCCAAAGATAGCCTCCTTATAAATATGGCACCCGTTTAAAGTTACACCCTGTATAAAACCAAATTGCTCAAGAACATTTCGATTGAACAAGAGCATACAAGAGTACTTTATTCTTAGATAGATGTCAATACTTTTTAAATAATTTTTAAAATGGGGTAAAAATAAAAAAGTTGATTTTAAAACAATGAGATGACCTAACCTAACCTAAAACTACCCCTTACGCAACACGTGGGACGTAAACAGTAATGTTCAAATGACCAAAGTCTAATTTTAAACGATAAAAAAGGATCTCTGGTAAGATTATGTATCTACCATTCTGTTTAAAAGAGTACAACTCCTTAATTACCCATTTTCGAGAAAAAGTTTATATATCAGTACCGCTATTTTTTTATTCTACCCATCCTGAAAATATCAGGAGACAATTTAAGACCACCCTGTAAGCAAAATTGCAGGTATCGGTGAATATAGTAACGATAATTTCAAAATAGGCCGGATTTTATCACTTAATAAACTTATTTGTCAGATAAATCTAAACCTATC